TTTATGCTTGCTAGTAGTACATGTTGATGTTGGAGATGGTCATGCTAGTCAGTATGCCATGGTGAGTGGATATGATTTATTGTTGATATGGTGGATAGTTATGTGATACCCTCATGATGATGTTGATATCATGTTCATGTATTATTGTTGGCATCATGTTATTTTATCATGGATCAGCATATTTGCATTCAACCAGATTGAACTTGAACAACTGTTGGCTGAGTCATGGTGCCGTTGAATCGATGCTGACCAGTGCAACCACGCTTACCGGTATGGGATGGTCCTAACTGGGTCTATTGTTGTGCCTCTTGCCGGTGCCTCCAACAAGGGAAGGTTATGGGCGCACACTACCCTGATCGGGTAGGCGGAGCATAACCTTGTGTGCCGGTAGTTGTTATAGCCGGCGGATCCCCGTGTGGGATTGTTTATGTTTTGGGCCACGACGATGGTCGAGGTGTCTAGAGGTAGACACGGGGCCACCCATACTAGCCCGATGGGGACTGAGTCGGAGTGGCCGGGAGAGTGTCATGGTAGTAGATCGGTTTTGTCGAAACGCTGTTGGTCCACACGAATGGGAGTGCGAGGCCATGGGTTCCATAGTGTGGGTATAGTGTACTAACCTCTGCAGAGTGTATATTAATCTATTGATAGCCGCGCCCGCGGATAAGGGCCCAGGTCGAAAGTAGGTCACACCATGAGTCAACAGTAATAAAAATAAGGTGCTTAATAACAATGAGATAAGTTGGTTGTGATCGCCGTAAGGATCACGGTTTGGTGCCAAGTGTTGGTCGGGTTGTGATCGCCGTAAGGATCATGGGACAAGTGTTGGTCGGGTTGTGATCTCCGTAAGGATCACGATTTGGGACCAAGTGTTGGTCGGGTTGTGATCGCCGTAAGGATCACGATGGTATCGAGGATACTGAGGTTGTTGTATATTCGTGATGTGGTACGAGAGTTGTGGGTAAGGATCAATTTCCTTGTGGTCATTTACTAATTACTACGGTATTGTTTATACCAAGCTTGATTTGATCCTGAGATGATCGTGTGATGTCCGAGGTTGGTAAGTGATGCATGTGTTGGTTACGAGGTAACCCGAGCGGTATACGTGGTTCATGTAGTGACATCATGTTGCATGATAGTATTATCGGATTAATATGTTCATGCTATGTTCATGTTGAGTTAGCTGTATCATGTTCATGTTGATGCCATGTTGCTATGATGATATCATGTTAAATTCCTGTTTAACCTGTAATTGCCATGCTGTTGTCTGTCTTGAATGCTTCTGGTTATTGTGAGCTTGCAAGTACATTCAATGTACTGACCTGGCATGTCATGCCAGTTTGCAGGTCATTCCGGATTTGATTTCTTGCTTGTCGTGGTTTCCGTTCGTGCGAGCTAGGATAAGCGCTCCAGCCAGTCCCTGCGGAGTGGAGTTCACCACCGTCGTCGTTGTTCCGCTGCTAGAGTTCTTCCGCTGCATCGTGTTGTTCTGTTGCTTGCATAGAGCAACAGTGAATGGCGTAGTGTCGCCGTACCGATGTTATTCATTGTAATATTGGAAACCTTGTATTCATATTCGTGTAATAATAGAAAGTTGGTTTGTTCTATGCTAAGCAGTGCCGTATTCCAGAAGACTTCTCCTCGACCTTTGGGCTGGAATACGAGGCGTTCCGTTTTTATCTGAGCCGGGGTGCCACAGTTCGGAGTCAGACATTGTTAATCTTAAGTTCCTTTTGCTCTACTTTGAGGAAATGTCTGGACTTAAGATTAACTTCGATAAGAGCGACGTTGTGGTCCTTGGCTACTCGGAGGCTGAGCAGCACATGATCGCGGATAACCTCAATTGTAGGTTGGCTTCATTCCCCATATCTTACTTGGGGATGCCCCTGGCTAAGTCCGGGATTTTGGTGAGTGGGTATGATCCGCTTGTGGGACGAGTAGCGTCTCGTGCGGAGCCCTGGTGTTGTAGGTTCACTTCTAAAGGAAGCAAAACTGTCCTCGTTAGCTCTAACCTTGCCAACCTCCCCATGTATATGATGGGGATGTACATCCTGCTCGAAGGTGTGCATAGTTCCTTTGACAAGGAGTTGGCTAGGTTCTTATGTCAAGTAGGGGATGGTCGGCCTAAGTACCATATGATGAAATGGGCTGACATCTGCTTGCCGAAGGACCGAGGGGGGTTGGGCATCCCTGCGTCTCGCCGTATGAACGTTGTGCTCATGCTTCGTTGGGTTTGGCGGATCTTGTGGGGTGATGGCAGTTTGTGGCTGCAGTTGATTGAGTCCAAGTACTTGCAGGGGCAGCCCCTCTTGGCTTTCTCGCACTCGGCTGGATCCCAGTGTTGGAAATCTATCCAGGCCATCAAGGATGAGATTAGGCTGGGTTTGCGGTTCTCGGTTGGCAATGGGTCTGGGACCCAGTTTCGGTTGGACCCCTGGCTTGATGGAGAGCCTCTCCGCATGCGGTTTCCGAGGCTCTTTGCGATTTGTGACGACCAGGCTATTGTTGTATATGCGGCTGCTTTGGATGAGGGATAGAATATTGCGTTACGCCGCTCATTCGGATCAGCCGAGGTACAAGAATGGATAGACTTGAGGGAAGTAGTCCCTCTTCCTCTGTCTCAGGACCCTCACACTGTTTCTTGGAGTCTTTCTCCTTCCGGAGAATTCTCCGTTAGTTCGACTTATCAGGCGCTTTGCCGGTTCCGGTTCTCCAATGGTTATCCCCATTGTGGAAGGCGTTGATGCCCCTGAACATCAAGATTTTCGTATGGCAGCTTCTCAGAGATCGTTTACCTTCGGGGACCGAGGTGCTGAAACGCCAGGGTCCGGGCAATGGTCTTTGCCCCCTTTGCCTCATCCCGGAAACGGGAACCCACATTTTGTTCTCATGCGTAGCAGCGCAGGCACTTTGGTGCTTCGTTCATGAGGCACTGGGACCGGAGTGGGAGGCCCATGACCTTGCAGAGTTTCTGCAGGTAAGGGCCACTCAGGTTGGTCGTAAGCGCCGGTTGTTCTGGCTCATCTTCGCGGCTATGATGTGGACCCTTTGGACTACTCGCAATAAGATGGTGATTGAGCGGGTGTTCCCGCGGCGTGCTTTTGACTCGTTCTTCAAATTTCTTGCCTTCTTGTAGCACTGACATCCGCTCGCTAGGCCAAGAGACCGTGACCGGCTTCAGCTCTATCTGGATGCTCTGCTGGCTTCCGTGCGAAGGCTCTCCGACAGTTTGCCTACTTCGTAGCTTGCATCTGGTGGCCTTTTATATTAATTCTTCTTTCATTTGGGCGTGTTTGTGTTGTGGCCCCAACAATTTTCTTTTATGACGCTGGTTGAGAAATGGTTGTACGGACGTTTGCTTTATCTATAAAGTGGGCGAAAGCCTGTTTCGAGGATAGATGGAATTGCGAAGATAGGACCATTGCAGACATACACGAACGAAAAATGGACATAGCACTGCACTGAATATATCTTGAAATATACAAACCCACATGATTTGGTAAGAAACTGCAAATACAAGAAACCTGAATTCACAAGAACAAAATGGTAAAACTAGCTCATCGAGGCTTGTGTGTGTGGGTTGGGGTGGTGTAGGGTGGGCATTATTGCAAAGAAACATATATAGGTGTAGGACAAAACGAAAACACGAACAAATCAAGCATGCCTCCATCAGGGAACTGTTTGGTCAAGGCTTGGATGGAGCTGAAAGCCAAGTAGAATTGAGTTGAATATTTGATATTTCTTGGAGGAAGGCGTCGGCGTGCTCCTCCCTCGCACATTTGGCCATGACGTTGTGCTCGTCCTTGCAGGGCACGCATACCGCGCAGAAGGGCAGCCCAATCCTCTGTCGCCGGTAGCTCAGAGCATCTCCAACAGCCGCGCTAAAGTGCCGCGCGCAAAAAACCTGTTAGCGCGCGCGCTACGGCTGGTTTTGCGCGCCCGCCTACGCTGGTTCCAGCAGCCGCGCTGAAATGCAGCGCGCGCGTGCCGCTCCAGCAGCGCGCTAAAATGCAGCGCGCGCGACTAGAAATGTATGCATTTTTAAAAGTTAATTTTTTTAAAAAAACTAGATAGATTGCATAGATTAAACGATACAAAGGTATTTTACATCCGAAACATAGATTGCATAAAATAAAAACGACAAACATAAACATAGATTGCATTAACAAAAAAAACTACTCTAAGTCGCTATCATCATCACCACTATCATCCTCGGCGGTGTCATCCGAGGTAGATAGCCAGATGTCCAGCCACCGCTCATCGTTCGGCGTGAAGAACAACCGCCCACCTGCTGCAACGAGGTCGGACTGCGCATTTGCCAACGCCTTCCGCCGACGCCTGTCCAACCGCGACGCGCGGCGCCTTTGCGTGTCCTCCTCGCGGCGCCTTGCCCAGTAGGCTTGCTCGTAGGCGACGTCCTCCGGGTGGCGCTGGCGCCAGTCCGCCATGACCCTCTCGTCCTCCTGGGCGACGAGGAGGCAGCGTTGCCGCTCGGCGTGCTCCGCACGGTCTTCCGCCGTGTTCAGACGAGGCAGAGGGGCGAGGTTGAGCGCTTGCTCGAGCGTGTACACATCTTGGAAGTTCATCTGGCTGCGCGGCCGGCCTAGGCGCCACGCCGCCGCGTCGTACGCGCGGGCGGCCTGTCGCGCCGTCCCGTACGTGTCGAGGGCGAGCCGGAGTTCGCCGGAGCGTATCTCCGCGGTGTAGCTGCCGTTGGGCCGCAGGCGGACGCCGCGGTAGCCGGACGCTCCTCGGCGGCGCGGCGGCATGGCGGCGCGGCGGTGGCGGGGCGCTGGAGCGGCGCGTGGCAGAGAGGGAGAGGGAGAGGGGAAGAGATGTGTGTGGAGAAGGCGCGTGGCGCACGCAGCTTTTATAGGCGCGCGTGAAGCGGCGCGCCAAATCTTGCGCGCGAGCTGGCGCCTTTTCGCGCGCGCGCAAACGGTTCCCGCGCGCGCTTGTTTCCCGCGGCCGCTGGAGCGCGGCAAACCGCCCCACGCGCGCTAAAAGCTGCGTTTACCGCGCGCGCGCGTCGTTTGGGGCGACTGTTGGAGATGCTGTCGTCCTTGCGGAAGATTGTATCCATGCTGGCGCTGCAACTCATCCATGATGGACTGGTCGGGCATCGGAACCTTGGCACGGTGGATCATTTTCACCAGGTCTACGACGACTCCGTTTGTCACCATGCCACTGGTCGCCGCAACCAGGTGTATGGTGACACAGTTGCCGTAATAGCCCTTCTTGGCCGACGCATACTTGCGTGCATCAGCCGTGAAAGAGAGCATGACGAGGCTGTCCGGGTCGGACCGGATTGCACGGGTCCGGCACCGCCATAGCACCGCGGCCACTGCCTCGAACACCGTGCATGGCCCATCATTGCTACTCATGGAGTACCTGCGTCTGATGCCATCGATTAAGCTAGATGGTCGAGTGATGTTCTGGGACGCCCTCGGGAATGGTTGGAGGGTAGCCGCAATCCGCGCACAGTTTGCGACGGATGCAGGCAGATCGAACATGAGCGAGTCGGCCGATCTGACCGGGACGACGGACGGCGATGGCAGCCCGCGGGCAAGCTCGCCGACCGCCCGGAAAAACTGAGCGAGCCCAATGCCATCGCAGAGTTGGTGGTTCCATGTTAGCCCCACGATACACCCGCCGCAAGAGAAGACCGTCACCTGCATCAGCATCAAAGGCTCCGAGTGGCTGAAACCAACTGCCGGGTAGTAGAGCGCGAGCTCTTCTTGCAGCGATGAGTCACACAGGTCCGCCACGTCCTTGATGGCGCAGTTCGCAGACGCTGCAACGAACGACACGCCCTCGCCAGTGCATTTGATGACGACGTCGCCGGAGGTGGCTCCGGTGGCAAGGCGGCCAGCGATAGGGTAGTAGTGGACTAGTGCTTGCGAGAGCCCTCTTCTTATGATCTCGGCAGGCTCCTGGATGGGATGCTCGTACACACAGAACACCGTCTCCACCATAGGGACTACTTTGTCGTAGGTGGAGAGGGCGATCTCGCTGCCGGTCGCAGTGACCGGCTCGGATGGCTGGACGACCACCAACGGGTACTTATTGATCACCACGCTGCTCATACTGTTCTTTTTTGCTGTTTCGAAAGTTGTAGTGCGTAGTTACTGTATTGAGAGTAGTAGGCATCCAAGTCCCAACTAGCTAGGTTTATATACGAGGGAAAGAGAATTTAAAAGCTACTCGTGTTTTGAGTAGTTAGTGATATGTATAAACTCGCTAATTATATAGTGCCAGCATGATGCTCACGCTCACATCAATTAAAATGATAAGCGTGATTATAACTGGATAATGGTGTAATACATCATCATTGGAAGGTAGAATCTCTAGCATGATAAGCGTGGTAATATTGTCAGCGAGCAGCGGATGCTCTAGCCCAGAGAAGTCAGAGCTCTGATCAATTGCTTGTTAGCTCGTGCCTCGGGGTAAGACTCGAGAGTCAACACCCCAACTAGCTAGGTTTATATATGAGGGAAAGAGAATTTAAAAGCTACTCGTGTTTTGCGTAGTTAAGTAATATACAAACTCATGTGGTTGGATGGTTAGAGTCCATCAGGGTTCAAGTCATGTTGTTCGCATTTATTCTTAGATTATTTCAGGATTTTCAGCGATGTGTTTTCAGTGGAAGGAGACATTTCGGTCGACGAAGAGGAGTCTACGGTGACTTCGTAAATTTCAAGATAATATGTTGACTCAATCTTTCGAAGGTGCTCATAGGGATATGGTATGCGTGTTTGCGTTTATAGAGGTGAGTGTATGCGCATGTATATGAGCGCTTGCATCTGAACAGTGTTTAAGAAAAATATAGTGCTTAAAAACTTGCTAATTATATAGTGCCAGCATGATCCTGGCGCTCACATTAATTGAAATATGTCTGTTAGTTCTCGATCAAGGACATCACCCATCTCAATTTTCTAAGAGAACACGCAATCCCCTAAAAAAAGAGAGAACGCCGCAATGCAATCTCTCTCTCTTTTTTTTTAGAAACTGCAATATCTCTCATAGGATGCGGTCCTTGCCTTTGTGACATTAAAAATAAGCTCGTGTTACGTTCTCCATCGCTCGTGGACAGCACAATTAAGCATCCTTAATTCTCTGTAAGAGAAGTTTTGCATAGACATTAAAATGAGCTCGCGTCACATTTCTTGTTCTATACAAACTTGTTATATATTCCTTTTTTTTTTGAAAAGGGGCGCTTTATTACTTAAAAGATTTAAGTATTACACCCGGCCTCTGCATTACTAAGACCTTAGAAAATATGTTCTGGATAGTCTGTATGTCGATGGACTAGGAGGCTCACTTCCCACTGGTCACCCTCTCTTCGCGCCTTAGCATTGGATCGGATCACACTCCTCTTGTGGTGGACGGTGGCGTTAGGGCCACACTACCACCTTCTCGATTCCATTTTGAAACTAGTTGGCTTCTTAATGAGGCTTTCAAACCCCTTGTAGTAGGCAAATGGGTTGCGCTCGAAAGTAATTGCATCAGGTCCTTTGGCACTCTAGACGATTGGAGATTTTGTTCCCAGAAGCTGCGCCAATTCCTTCGCGGATGGAGTGCTAACTGTCAGGCAGAGGCTCTCCGCACTAAAGCCTCTCTCTCCTCCCAGATCAAAACTATCTAGTCCTTGGCTGATTCTTCGGGCCTGGACTCTGCCGGTTGGGAAAACCGTTACTCTCTTGAGTCCCAATTAGTCAATCTTCACTATGCGGATGAGGTGTATTGGCAACGGCGATGTAACATCATGTGGACCCTGAAAGGGGATGCCAACACTGCATATTTCCAGGCCATTGCCAATGGCCGGCGTCGTCGTGCAAACATTTCTACCCTGATTATTAATGGCTTGCTGTATTCAGATATATAGACCATCTCGAGTCACATTTATGACTTTTATTCCACTCTCCTTGGTGGGCGCCCGGACCCTGGTATTAGTTTGGCATCAAATGCTTGGTCAAGGGATCAATGTGTCTCTGAGGCTGAAAACTGCTTTCTCAGGTCTTCCTTGTCGTGTGAGGAGATTGACGCTGCGGTGGCTACAGCGAAGTCCTCTTCGGCCCCTGGCCCGAACGTGTTATCAATTCCCTTCTTCAAAGCCTTCTGGCCTTCCATTAAAACCCTAATGTACCGCATCTTCCAGGGCTTTTCCCTTGGCACGATTGACATATCTCGGCTGAACTGTGCCACCCTCGCTCTTCTGCCTAAGGTCAAAGGGGCAGACAACATTAAGCTCTTTCGATCCATTGCTCTTATTAATAATATTGCAAAATTCCCCTCTAAAGTGTATGCTTCCAGACTTTCCCCGGTTGCCCACAAGATTATTAGCCCTACTCAAACTGCGTTCATCAAGGGTCGGTTCATCCTGGACGGGATTGTGGTCCTGCATGAGCTTCTGCATGACATCCATAGGTTGGGCAAGCAAGTTGTTGTTCTTAAGCTTGACTTTGAGAAGGCATATGATTGTGTGCGCTGGTCCTTCCTTCAAGAGGTCCTCCTTGACAGGGGCTTTGACAGCTCCTTTGTCATGCGGGTCATGCAACTTGTCTCTGGCGGCCACATAGCCATCACGATTAACGGGGTGGTTGGCCCTTTAAAAACGGCCGGGGCCTCAGGCAAGGTGACCCCAGCTCTCCTCTCCTTTTCAACTTTGTCGCTGACGCCCTTGCCAAAATGTTGGACTCTGCGGCGGCCAATGGCCATTAAGAACATGGCCACCCATCTTTATCCAAATGGCATTTCCCATCTTCAATATGCGGACGACACGATTATCCTGATCGAGAAAGACGATCTTCAGTTGGCAAACCTAAAATTCATTCTTCTTTGCTTTGAATCCTTATCTGGGCTCAAGATCAATTTTAGCAAAAGCGAGGCTTTTGTCCTCGGTTGTGATAGTCTTGAACAACAACGAGTTGCCAACCTTCTTAACTGCTCCCTGGGCATGTTCCCAACCACCTACCTGGGCGTTCCTATCTCTCCAAGACAGCTCAAGGCAGAAACCTTTCGACCTCTTGAAAAGAAAGTGGGTGGACAGGTAGCACCTTGGAGGGGCCATTATCAATCCACTACTGGCAAGGTAGTTCTTACCAACTCCAGCCTTCCGTCTCTCTTGACCTTCATTATGGGCTTTTATAGCCTTTTCACCAGTAACAATGCCTCCTTTGACAAAGACCGCAGTGCCTTCTTCTGGAACACTGCTGATAACAAGAAAAAATACATAATGGTGAAATGGAAACTGATGTGCTACCCCAAAAAGCTTGGTGGGCTTGGTATCATCAACACCTCTGTCATGAATCAATGTCTTATTATGAAATGGTGGTGGCGCCTCTACTCTGAACCTCCTAACTCAGTTTGGATCAAGATCATGAAGGCCAAATACTTCCCTAACTGCCCTGCGCTGATGTCGTTTGTCAGGTCCGGGTCGAAATTTTGGACATCTTTGATCAAGCTTCGTGACACCTTTAGAAGCTTGGTTCGTTTCAAGGTAGGGGATGGGGCCTCTACCCGCTTTTGGCTTGATTGGTGGACCGGCATTGGTCCCCTTGCGGAGTCTTTCCCAGGGCTCTTTGCGTATGTTTCGGATCTGAATGCCTCGGTAGCCTCTCTGGCAGTTGCGGATTGGGACTTTGCCTTTCGCCGGACTTTGACTCCTGAAGAGTTGACCTCTTGGCAAGGACTTATTGCCTTGATACCCCCGCTCTCGGAGTCCCCCGATGTGTTGGTCTGGCCTCACTCTGCTTTTGGCCGCTTTGATCAAATCCTTCTATAACAAACTTATCCCCGGCAGGCCTGATGACCGCTTCAAAGGGCCGTGGCAAGCCCGAATTCCCCTTAAGATAAGGATTTTCCTTTGGCAGGCTATTAGACGCAAACTTCCTGCTAGTGACCAGATTATTAAACGGCATGGCAGCGCTAACCCGACTTTCATTCTTTGTGGAGTGGTGGAAGACACGAAACACATTCTCTTCAAGTGCTCCTTGGCTCAGTTCGGTTGGAGTTGCGTCCGCTCCTGGCTTACTTGCACTTGGAATCCACAAGGCTTTAACGACTTGTTCGATCTCTCCCGCAACCTGTCGGGGCAAGGGCGCATGATCTTTTGGGTGTTCTTTGCGGCATTAAGCTGGAGTTTATGGACAACTAGGAATAAATTTACTACTGAGCATGTTTTTTCTAACAAACCCTCTGATTGTCTGTCTAAAATGGTTGCATTCTTACAACTGTGGGCGCCTCTGTTTAAAGCTTGCGACGTGGATGCTTTCAACTCGCTCATTTTCATGATCCGTGCTACCGCCATTAGCCTTGGTCATCATGTCGTGCCTCCCGAAGCTCCTCCAGTTCAGTAATGCCTAATGCTTTCTTGCTTTCCTGGCCTGCCTGCGTGCCTTTTGCCCTAGTGACTGTCCCGTACTTTGCACCCCTGCTTGATTGCCTTTCTTTTAATCCCTATCTGCAAACTTTGGTCATGTTTGGTATTCATGGTGATTGGCTTTATTTATAAAGTCGGGCGTCAGGCCATTTCTCCAAAAAAAAAGTGCAATGATTTTAATTAAGATGTATCAACGTTAAAATGATTTTGCGTTATATTTGACAGTGCATGCATACAAATCCTTTTCTTTAAGAAAACGTGCAATGATTCTAATGAAGGTCACGAACCAATCTGTAATTGCATAGTTAGGAGGACAATAATATCCCATACCCACCAGGTTCGTAGACTTGACACTGGTCCTTGAAATTTCCTGGATTTATTTCAGGTCTTTCTATGATGTGCTTTCAGTGGGAGTAGACGTTCCCATTGATAACGAATGCGTCTATGACAAGTTCGTCAATATCAAGATAATGTGTCGGCTCACTCTCTCAGAGATGCTCATAGGTGTCAATATATGTGTGCATGTATGAGCGTCTGCTTCTCTGCTATGTTCAAAACAAAACATTCTAATGATGGTCGCCGTGGCGACACTAAAATGATTTTTCCTTATATTTGACAGTGCATATACACATCTCCATTTTTTTTAAGAAAACGAGCAATGATTCTAAAGAGAATTTTCTAGCATTAAATTTGAAAAATGTCTGA